CAGGAAGCCCACCCTGACTCCCACCCCCTGAGCTCTTTCCCTTCTCTGAGTTCCTGCAGGAGTCACTCCTTTGATACTTTACCAACACCTTTAGTGCTATCATTCTTTTTTTGAAGTCTTGGAAGTCTGAGAGATATACAAATAAATGATTAAATCAATAAATACCCCTGGCTCTGATTTCTCATTGCCACCTTGAAGAAGCAGGTCTCCTCGTCTTCAGCATTGCACCAGCTATAGCTGTCTGTGGGCTCTAGACTCACCCAGGGCATCTAGTTGGGGCTCAGTAACGGTTGGTGCCAATGTTGAGTCACTCAGCACCGTTTGGCCATTTGCGAGAGGGATGCTCAAGTGTGGTTGAAGGCTAAAGGGGTCACCAAGGGGCCGTCTGCTGTCACTGTTTGGGTGAGCGGCACTGCTGTCATTGAAGGCATCAGTGCACAGGTAAACAGGAGTGTGTCTGAATTCCCAGACTTATGTTGACCTAAGTTAAATCACAGGAGGGGTTTGGGCGCAGCTAAGCCCAGCATAGACAACGAGCAGATGTGTAATGAATTGGTGCTGAATTAATGAGTGAATTGGAGTGGATGAATGAATGAATAAGTGGGTAAATGAAAGAGTAAGAGAGTAAATAAATGAGTGAATAAAAACATCATAATAGCTAACATTATTTTTTTAAATATGTTTTTATTTATTTTTAGAGAAAGAGGAAGGGAGAATGGTAGAGAGAGAGAAACATCATGATTGGCTGCCTCCTGCACGCCCCCTACTGGGGATCAAGTTCGCAACCTGGGCATGTGCCCTGACTGGAATCCAACCACTGACCTCTTGGCTCATGGGTCCACACTCAACCGCTGAGCCACACCAGCCGGGCAATAGCTAACGCTATTGAGCACTTACTATGCACCAGGCATTATGCTAACCAAGCTATTAAATTATTTAGTAGTCATAACCAAGTTCTGGGTCAGCATGAATGGGTCAGGGAAAGAGAGACTCTGTCTTCCGATGTCTGACAGACTCTGGGAGCCCCCAAGAGATCATCTAAACCACCGCTGCCTGCGAGCTGTCAGGACTTCACTGTGATGTTCCTGGCAGCCGGGCTCAGCCACCCCGATTCTTGCCGGAGGACCAAGAGGCCGTCAGCAGCATTGCTTTCACTGACCATGAGAAGGGGTTGACAGTTCAGGTTGGAAAAGATAAAATGTTTAACTTTCCTGTGCAGACTGCAGGTCTGGCCTCGGAGCCCAGAGAGACCCACTCAGATCTGTGACAACCTGCCCGGCCTGGCTGGGCTCTCCGCTTGGTTCCACAAAGCCCCACAGAGCTCATGGAGGCACTGCCCAGCTGGGGTGGGCTGTACGCGGAGCGGCTTGAGCCCAGCTCCACCACCAACTCCATCCACTTTCCCACTCTTGTTCCTGAAAGGGGCTGTTTCCTACCTCCATCCTTTGCCCGTGGTGTTCCTTCATGCTGTGGAGCCCCCACCCACCCCACTCATACAAATCCCCTGTCACCTAGATGCTACACACTCAACTGTCAAGAGTCAACGCAATGATCACCTCCTCCATGAAGCCTTCCTTGATGCTCCCCTTTGTGTCCCCACAGGGCCCTCCACATACTTGGACCACAAACTCGTGACCCTTTAAAGTCCAAGTTCCCAAACCTGGAAATGCAATAAAATTACCTGCAGGCTTATTTACAGAACAAATAGCCAAAAACAAAAACAAAAAACAAAAAAACAGGTTTCAGGACCCCAGGCTTTTTTTTAAATAAAGGTTCAGGGAAGACAGAACTGTGGGTGAGTGGGCGGTTGGCCAGGTGAAGCCAATACTCGCAGTCCACCAACTGGCTTTTGTGCGCTTATTCACTTACAGACCTGCCTCCCCAACCGAACGGGAAGCATCCTTGAGGGCAGGGCTGCTTTGTCACATGCTTGCACATAGTAGGGTCAGGAAAAAAGTGTGAGACAGGAAGGAGGGACAGAAAAGACACACACAGAGAGCGAGAACAGAGGCCAGGGCCGAGAGCCCCGCCTGGCTCACTGAGTCAGGGTGCCTCTGGCCGGGACACAGCCAGGTCACAGGGTCACAGGGCCGCTCCGTCCACAGCTCCCTCCATCAGCACTTAGCAGTCCACGGGCGATGCCCCCCGCGATACATCTTTCCTCTCATTTATCTTTTGTTTAAAAAATCAATGTGCCATTTATGTAGGCCACGGTGTCAGACCAGAAACCCGGACTTTGGAAACGACCATTTCGTGCCATTTTTATTTCCATAATTGTCTCCCTGCTGCTCTTTTTGTCAGAAGTGACGGGCCTTTGAAAGTGCCAGCTTGTCTGCTGGGCTGCGAGGGACTGGGGGAGGGTCTTTACGGGACGCAGGAAAGGAAGGTATGGGGGTGGGACAGGAGCCAGAAGGAGACACCCCAAACTGTATGGACTCTCTCACACCAAGCCAGCGGTTCCAGCGGCACAGAGACCAGCTGCTTCCCACTCAGGGCCAAGGCCCAGAGACCCCCTTGCTCCTGATCCCTAGTCTAGGCCTCCCCCTAATCCAGGCATGGCCCCTCTGTCCCTGGGCTCCAAGAATTCTATCTTCTCATATAAAGGGCTGGGCACTCGGCTGGGCCCCAGATATGCAGGGTTACCTCACTGGCGCCCCACAGCAACCCCATGAGGTAGGTGCCCATGCCCCCAATACATAGATGGGAAAACTAAGATCAGTAAATGTGCCTGAGGTCACACAACCAGAAAAAGGCAAAGCTGGGATTCAGACGTGGAAGAGGCTGACTCCCGAGCCATGCCTTTACCTCCTCCCTGCTGCTGCTTCTTTAAAAAAAAAAAAAAATCCTCACCCAAGGATTTTTTTTCCATTGCCTCCCATACAAGCCTGGGCCAGGGCCAATGATTGAACCTGCTATCAAGGTACGTGCCCTTAACTGGGAATCAAACCCATGATCCTTCGGTCTGTGGGCTGACGCTCTAACCACTGGGCAGCCAGCCAGGGCTCCTTCCTGCTGCTTCTACCCCAGGTTCAAGTTCAACTTCTCCCATTACCATCAGCCACCAAGTGGCCTCAGGAACCCTCAGACGGACCCCTGGACCTGCAAACTACGAATCCCCTCTCCCTGCCCAGAATCCACTGGTCTCCTCCACACCCAAGCCTGGGTCCCTTTGGGTCTGTAGTTGGCTCAGCTCAGAGACCCTTTGGTTTTATCAAGCTCCTCTTTCCTTTCCCTGTCACCCACTGCCATTAACGATTTCCATCAAGCCCCACAATTTTCCATCTCCAAGCACAGATGTCAGGAAGGGCCCTCCTGCCCTGCACCAGCTGCTGTGCCTGCTGGGCAACCATCCCTGCGCGGGCGTCCCATGGCCTGAGACGCAGCCTCCGAAAGGGCTGCCGGCTGGTGTCAGGTGCCCAGCTTGGAGTCCTGCACCTGCCAGGCCCTCGAGGTCTGGGCTCCCGCAGTCACACAGGAGCAAGAACCGTGTGCCGTGTCCTTGGGTGGTTCACACCAGTCTCCCCAGTAGAAGAGGTGCTCCAGGGGGGCAGGAACCAGGGCTGGGCTGCTGGTGGCTCTGTCTCCCAGTGCAGGGCACCTGCCGGCTCACGACACACATCTCCCACCCAGGCCTCAATTTCCCATCTTTAGAACGAGGGCATGGGCTGGGTGACCTCCAAGGCCCTCTCCAGCTCAAACTTGGTGTGATTCCAGGATCAACAAGCAGCAGGCCTGCCCTAGCCGGTTTGGCTCAGTGGATAGAGCGTCGGCCTGGGGACTAAAGTATCCCAGGTTCCATCCCGGTCAAGGGCACATGCCCGGGTTGCAGGCTCAATCCCCAGGAGGGGGGCGTGCAGGAGGCAGCTGATCAATGATTCTCTCTCATCATTGATGTTTTTATCTCTCTCTCCCTCTCCCTTCCTCTCTGAAATCAATAAAAATATATTTTTTAAAAAACAACAACAACAAGCAACAGGCCCCTGCCTGTGCCTGCTGAAATCAATAAAAATATATTTAAAAAACAACAACAAGCAACAGGCCCCTGCCTGTACCTATAATTGCCCCCAGCTTCACGCCCCGCTGGAAGCAGAGGGAGGGGTATCAATAAATAATGACCACATTTAAAATTCATTTTTCATTATTAGATTATTTTCTGAAAACAGGGGAAGAGCTGGGGTGCAGAATGGGAAGAAAGCAGAAGAGAGGAGCCCCGAAAGGAGAAGCCTAGGACATGGTGTGATATTAACAATTCACAGGTGGTCTGCACTTGACAGCTCACCCTCCCTTTCTCCTCCGCTGTCCCATCTGAGCCCCGCCCCCACCCTGTGCCATCCCTAGAGCAGGTGCAATTATGGTCCCATCACGGAACAGAGGAAATGGGACTCCCTCGGGCTCCCCTGGCTGAGAACGTTTAGCTCAGGGGTGGGCAAACTTTTTGACTGTGATATTAACAATTCACAGGTGGTCTGCACTTGACAGCTCACCCTCCCTTTCTCCTCCGCTGTCCCATCTGAGCCCCGCCCCCACCCTGTGCCATCCCTAGAGCAGGTGCAATTATGGTCCCATCACGGAACAGAGGAAATGGGACTCCCTCCGGCTCCCCTGGCTGAGAACGTTGACCTGCTAAGTGGCAGAGCCAGGTTAGGAATCAAGGTTTCTGACCCCAAACCCAGTGCCCAGGCACCAGGCCGGCCCTGTTTCCATTTCATTGAGGAACATCCCTGTTCCCGTAGAAGACCATGAGGTCAGGGGTCCTGGCACCGAGCCACCAGCTGCGGACATTCCCCAGAACAGCCCGTTCTCCCCGCAGCTGCTGAGCAGGCGAAACCAAACTGACCACTGTCCTCCCCGCTTACAGTAAGGCCCTGCCGATTGCAGAAACAGGACCTGAAACTGCCTGAAGGCAGCAGGACTGGGTGAGAGTGGGGTGACAGGAGGAGGGCCGGGCTGCTGGGCCCGGGGGAGGGGGCCGTCAGGGGAAGGCCCTTCCCTTCTCTGGGGAATGGAACTTCCGCTTTGGACTGAGAGCATCAGGCTCCTGGCTCCTGGTCCCACTGCTGCCCAGCCAAACGGCATTGCAAGCGGCCTCACAGGACGCCAGGTTCCCAGGTGAGGATGGGGCGTGGTGCCTGGGGGACTGGCCAGCTGGACCAGTGGGGTGGAGGGTGGTGATTCTCAAAGTGCAGACCTTGCATCCCCTGCCTGGGAGCCCGCTGGCGTGTTTAACGCTGTGGATTCCTGCCTGGGCCCAGACCTCGGGGATGAATCTCTCTGGAGGTGAACTTGGAGATCGGCAGCTACCTAGGGCCCAGGTGAGGGGGAGGCAGCCTCAAATGGGAGCCACCAGCCTAAGGTGAGTCCTGCTTCTGCCTCTGAAGTGCTGGTGATCTGGGGCAAGTCATGTGCCTCTCGGCTGAGACCCGCTCTGGGAATATCAGAACCTCAAGGTCACCCAGTGTTTAGCATACTCCCTGGGTCAAGATGTCAGAGGCAGACGGATGTCAGGACCCAGGTCCCCCTCCACCCAGCGCAGCATTCCCAGCACCTGCCTCCTCTTATTTCCGTGCGTCCGCTGAGAACGCTCAGCACGGCTCTTCTAAAGAAATCATGGCACTCGCAGGTGAGTGGTGGTTAGTTAGTAACACTGAGTGAGCTCAGCGTTTGTAAAGGAGCGGGTGGGACCAGGCCCCACACCAGGGACCTTCTTATTTTATAGGTTCCATCTCATTGAATCCTCTGGCAGCCCTGTCAGGTGGAAATTAACTTTGCCAAAGAGGTTCGGTCTCTTGCGTGAGGTCATGCGGGGAGGTAGCAGCAGAAGGGTTCAAGGTCAAGTTGGCCTGACTCCAAGTCAGGGATAAAGGCGCAGTTGGGGCTGGAAGGGGATGGAAGGATCAGCGATGCAGGGGGAAAAAAGAGCAAGGGGCAAGGCTGATGAGGTGATGACCGGTGAAGGCAGGAGGTGGTCAGACCAGATGAGTTTTAAGTCTACATCCTGGTCTGAGACGTACATGAGCCAGAACTCAGATCTTCCCACTCCCCCAACCCACCTCCCACTTCCCCCAAGAAACCTGAGTCTCATCAAAGGTCAGGACCTGCTCCTCCTCCCCCACCCCCACCCCCACCTCTCTGGTGGAAGCTCTCCGCCCTGGGCCGCCTCCCCCTGAGACACCCCCTCTCCCTGAGCCCAACCTCTCAAAGGGACCGAGCCTCTTCTACTTTTCCAACCATCTCCCATCATGTCCCCAAACTGATGGTGATCGTTTTAAAAATAGCCAATATGCAGTAAGCATTTCCAACATGCCAGACTCTGCCGTAAGCCCTAACTCGTCTGTCCTCCCACCAACCCTATGAGCCAGAACGCCGATCCTCACACTGAGTTCTAGAGATGGGGCTAGAGATTAGTATTAGCCCCGTTTGTCGGAGAAACTGTGGCCAGAGAGAAGAGGCCTGCCTGCGGCCCTGAGCTAAGAAGTGTGGAGGCCTGATGGGGATCTGGCGGTTGATATCCTGATGGCCCTCCAGGCCTCTCACCACCGGGGATGTTTGCCGCCTCACAGCAACAGTAACAGTAATAAGAGCGCCTTCACTGGGCACTGGCGGACCCAGCACGGCTCTCAGTGCAGCCCATGCATTAGCTCCTCCTGCTGGGCCCTCAGGCTGCGAAGCCCAGGTTTTCACCACCAGGTACAGCAGCCTCTTGACGTAATACCTGTGAGTGTTAAGGTCCAGTGGGCACGGGTTTAAATCCCAGCCACAGGGGGGCGCTGTGACCTTGATCAAGGGTCTCGCTCTCTCCACACTCAGGTTCCTCATCTGTAAAACGAGAAATCAGGGATGCTTTCTCAAGAGGCCGTGGTAAGAACCGAATTCAATGAAATAATAGCACATAAAGGTTTGGCACAGAGCCTGGTGCCTGCTAAGAGCCTAACGCATGGATTGTTAAAGTTGTCAAACTACCCTTTTGTAAAACCTCCAGCAAGAGAGGGAACGGATGCTCATTCAAAAATAAAAATAAGCAGATGCCCTAAATCGCCCTCTGTTCGGAGCAGGGCAGAGCCCACGCCGGTCACTCGGCCCTGGTCACAGCCCCTGTGCAGCCTCCCAGCACAGAGTCGGGCATAACTCAGGAGTTTGGGCAGTGAATTGATTAGAACCAGACCAAGGTGGGGAAGCTGATTTTCTGATCCCAGCAAAGCCTCCATGTGCCAAATTCTGGGTTGGCCCAGCCAGCGTGAGGCAGAGATGGAAGGAGTTTGGCCACAGCTCCGTCCTTAACAAACTCCCAGATACCTGTGGGCAGGTTGCTGTCTAATGTTGGAGCCTCAGTTTCCTCATCTGCAGGATGGGGAAATAATCACAGCCCACTTCCCCAGGGTGCTATGAGGCTCAGTCAACAGCAGCAACAAGTCTGAACAAGGCCATGGCCTTGCCCGGGTCCCCACAGTCATCCCGGGAGGTGTGCGGGGGCCACTTTGCTCTCCCATGTTAAGAGCAGGAAATAGCTCAGCTTCTGGGGTGGGGGGGGGGGCGGGGGGCGCGGTGATGAGGAAAAGCTCTCTGGAGGAGAAAGGCTTCGGCCCCAGCCTTGAAGGAGGGGGAGGACTTGGATCTGGGCCAAGGGGAGTGGGCAGCCTTGGTAAGAGACGAGCTGCCGATCACTGAGAAGGTGCAAGTCATGGATGGAAGAGCCCTTGGCAGAGATGCTATTGAGGAGATTCAATCATAGGCTAACGGCTCCTCAAAATTCCTCAGCACAGAATTACTGTAAGACCCCAGGCACTGCTCGGTAGAACTAAAGAGAATTAAAAACAAGGTATTCAAACAAAACCTTGCACGTGCATGTTCATTGCAACACTATTCACAGTAGCCAAAAGGAGGAAACTTCGAAAATGCCCATGAGTGATGAATGGATAAACAAATTGTAGTATGTCCACACAGTGGAATACTACTCAGCCATAAAGGGATGAAGTACTGATATGTACTACAACACAGGTGAACCTTAAAAACATAATGCCGAGTGAGACAAGCCAGACACGAAAGGTCGCGTATTGTATAATCAGCGGTTCTCAACCTGTGGGTCGCGAACAATGAAAATACATCCTGCATGTCAGATATTTACATGACGATGCATAACAGTAGCAAAATTACAGTGATGAAGGAGCCATGAAAATCATTTTATGGTTGGGGGTCACCACAACCTGAGGAACTGTATGAAAGGGTCGCGGCATGAGGAAGGTTGAGAACCACTGGTTATAGGAACTACCCAGAGTAGTAAGTCCACAGTCAGAAAGCAGATGAGTGCTTGTCGGGGGCTGCGGGGGAAGCAGGACTGGGAGGAACTGCTTCATGAGTACAGAGTGTTTGGGGGCTGATGAGAATGTTTTGGAACTGGAGAGAGGTGGTAGTTGCACAACATTGTGAATATGCTAAATGCCACCGAAATGTTCACTTTAAAAACGATCAAATTTATGTTAGTGAACGTCAGCTTAATTAAACAACGCTAAGGGCTGGACTGGATGGAGCTTAATGCGGCTTGCATGCTGAGGACTCGTGCCCTGAGGCACTGGCTGTGCTGAGCAGCTAGAGACAGCCCAGGGCTGCTTCTAGTTCTCTGGGGTGAAGAGGGGCCAGCACTGCCCTGTCACCAGGGCCCACGCCTTTGGAGGGACCCAGGAACAGCCACCAGAAGAGATGGGCTGGTATGCTGGCAGGGACACTGGTGTTAGTGCCGGGCAGGCCTGGGTTCGAGTCCTGGCTGCAGTCCTTCCTATGTGACGCCAAGCAAGTGACTTGGCGACCCCGAGCTTCGGCCTGATCCTCCCCTGTGCAGAAATAATAGCTCCTTCCTGGTGGAGCTGCAATGAGGATGGGAAGTGGCTCGCTATGCAAGCAGCACAGGCACCCTGAACGCAGAAGCTCCGATGAGTGAGAGCACTTAGAATAAAATGCAGCCCGGCTGGCGTGGCTCAGTGGTTGAGCATCCATCTGTGAACCAGGAGGTCATGGTTCGATTCCTGGTCAGGGCACATTCCCAGTTTGCGGTCCAGTGTGCAGGAAGCAGCCAATCAATGATTCTCTCTCATCATTGATGTTTCTCTCTCTCTCTCTCTCTCTCTCTCTCTCTCTCTCTCTCTCTCCCTCCCCCCCCTTCCTTTCTAAAATCAATTAATATATATATATATATATTTCTTTTTTTAAGAATAAAATCTGCCATAACCAGTTTGGCTCAGTGGATAGAGCGTCGGCCTACGGACTGAAAGGTCCCAGGTTCGATTCTGGTCAAGGGCATGTACCTTGGTTTCGGGCACATCCCCAGTAGTGGTTGTGCAGGAGGCGGCTGATGGATGTTTCTCTCTCATCCATGTTTCTAACTCTCTATCCCCTTCTCTTCCTCTCTGTAAAAAAATCAATAAAATATATTTTTTTAAAAAAATAATAAAATCCAAAATCTGCACACCACAGCCGCAGGCCCGGGCCCCCGGTCACTCCGACCGCTCCCTCTCTGCTGGTCACTCTCCCCTGTGCTGGTCCACCTTCCAGGCTCTATTCTGCCTCTGGCCTCTGCCTCCACGGTCCTCTCCCCATGGAACATTTGGTCCTTTCTGCACCTTCAGGTCCCCGCCTAAACATCACTTCTCAGAGACGCTGCCCCCACCCCCTCTACAACATTTTCCTGGTGGGAGGCCTCCCCTCCCAAAACCCGCCCTTTCCCACCCCAGCACAGTCCCTCTCCCTCCGGGCGCTGTCCCTGCTGTCAGAGCACCCATCGCCCATCCCCAACTATTTCTGTTCATTGACCTCCATGAAGGCAGGGGCCTGTGCACCAGCACCCAGAGCAGGACCCACTCAGAGAACACATGCACGACTGAACAAAGCAACGAACCAGCCAACGAATTAATTAATTCATTAATTAATTAAACGTGAGGCGTCACCACAGTCGTTAGTAACCTACCCCATCTTCTTGTCCCCCTGTAGGAAGCGGCGAAGACTGTGATGATGAAGACGCCGAGGGGCGGCCTCCTGGCGCTGCTGCTGCTGCTACTGCTGGGCCCTCTCGATGTCTCCCAGGCCCAGAGGGACTGCACCGGGCCCGCGGCCATCCCTGGCATCCCGGGCATTCCTGGGACACCGGGCTCTGATGGGACCCCTGGGACCCCAGGGGTAAAGGGAGCAAAAGGTCTGTCTACTTTGGGGACACACTGGTGTCACTGGTCGAGGCCCCACCTCCTGCCTCCCGAGTCGCAGTGGCCCACCTTAGAGGTTGTAGAAGCACTTGATGCCCATCAGCTGGCTGAGCCCTCGCAATAATTTGCAGGGAGGGAATTCTGATTCCCATTTTACGAAGGGGCCCAGCAAATGTTGAGGCTGCGACCAGACCAGGGATCTCTGACCACTCAGTCCAGGTAGAGAGAGGGCACCACCACAGTCACACCGCCTGGGTTACCTCCGGGGGGAGCGGCATCACCTCCCTGAACTGCTGTTTCCTTACCTGTCACATGTGGACAAGGGCATTTTGGTGGGGTTGTCACAGGGTTCAAAGGAGACGTCCCACCATAAAAAACCCCCTCCCCTGTGAAATCTAGTTCATTCGCTCATTGGCCCATAGCCAACCCCTCTCCCCAGATAGTCCCATTTAATCCGCACAAGGCCACAGACTCAGCGTCCCCATTTTACAGATGAGGAAGCTGAGCCTCGAAGAATCTGACTCACTCGAGGTGGCACAACTAATATGGCAGATGTGACGGGAGAAGCGCATCTGTCTGCCCCGAATCCACGGTCTCGGCCACCAGGCTCTGCCACTCTGTAGGGAAAGAGGTTTACCTTGTGTAGTGCCGAACCCAGGGTTGTGGCTGCTTGGCGCGGTGGAGTGGGAGGACTCGAAGGCCCACTCCCAAGTTCCGCAAGAAAGACTGCGTGATTGCTCAGGGGGGTCAGCCTTGGGGAAGGGGACACAGCGGGCAGCCTGTGTGCCAATCACTCATTACCAGCCTCCAGGCTTACGCTGGAACCAGGGTGCTGGATGAGCTAGTGAGGAGGGCCGGCCCTGCGCCCTCCTCAGGGAGAGAGTGCTGCCTCCCCAGGTATCAGTCCAAGCACATCACAGACTCGGGAAGCTGGGCTGGGAAGGGACTTGGAGGCGCTCTGACCAACCCCCTCCTCTTCACAGAGGGGAGGCTAAGGCCCCGAGAGGAGCAGGGGCCTGTCCACGGTGACTCCGCCAGGCTCCCGGCCTCTCCGCCCAGGGCTCCTGTCTTTGGTTCTCGGTGATCTCAGCCTCATTTCCCGTTTCCCTGCTTTTCCAGGGCTGCCAGGGCTCGCTGGAGACCATGGCGAGTTTGGAGAGAAGGGGGACCCAGGGACTCCCGGGAAGCCAGGAAAAGTCGGCCCCAAGGGCCCCGTGGGCCCCAAAGGCTCCCCAGGGCTCCCTGGACTCCGTGGCCCCAAGGGTGAGTCGGGAGACTACAAGGCCACACAGAAAGTCGCCTTCTCCGCCTTACGGAAAATCAACACGCCCCTGCGGAAGGACCAGGTGATCCGCTTCGACCACGTGATCACCAACGTGAACAACAACTATGAATCTCGCCTTGGCAAGTTCACCTGCAAGGTGCCGGGCCTCTACTACTTCACCTACCACGCCAGCTCACGAGGGAACCTGTGCGTGAACCTCATGCGCGGCCTGGAGCGCATGGAGAAGGTGGTCACCTTCTGCGACTATGTCCTGAGCACCTTCCAAGTCACCACCGGGGGCATCGTCCTCAAGCTGGGGCAGGGGGAGAGCGTCTTCCTGCAGGCCACAGACAGGAACTCCCTGCTGGGCATCGAAGGTGCCAACAGCATCTTCTCTGGGTTCCTGCTCTTCCCGAACCCGGAGGTGTGACCTGTGGGCCGATTCATCCCCCTCCCCATCCCCTCCCCCACCAGCAATACTCACTTTACCCCCAGCACTACCCTCACACAGTCAGTCTCCATGGATGTTGCTGAATGAATGAGTAAATAAACTCTTCATGACCAAGGGCCAGTGGTCTAATTCAATTCTGTGTCCCAGCACCTGGCACATAGTAGGTGCTGAAAAATGCTGCTTGAATGCTAGTTGAATGAATGACCTCTGACAACAGAAACTCTTTGTAGTTGGAGGTGACTGGAGGGCCAGACTCTGCGTCCAGCTCTGTGACAGCCACACAGTGGGAGATGGGGAGGGAACACCATCTGTTGAGCACCTACTATGCTCTTAGCACTGAGCTAGACACTTTCCTCGTTCTCTCATTAATCCTCACACTCATTCTCAGAGACATGGTGCATCATGCCCAGTTTACAGAGGAGAAAACTGAGGGCTGGAGGGATGAAGAGAGTGTCCTCAATCCCACAGCATGGCTGAGATTCAAGGGACCTGGGACCTCCTTCAAGGCAGCATGTCTAGGCCAGCCTCTAAAGGGGTTTTCTGCTTAAAATGTCACATATCCCCACCCAAGGGACCAAGGGGCCCTCCTCCAACGTCTTAACTGTCCTTGGAGCCAAGACTCTTTCCCTTTTGATTCTCCCCATGTGCTTCCCCTCCCGATATCTTCCCAGACTGGCACAGGCTCAGCCATCCAATTAGAACAAATGTCTCAGTGGACATGGGATCCAGACAGGGTGTCCACAGGCCAGGGCTGCCATGTCTCCCTCTGAGCCTCTGGGCCCTGAGTCTCTCTCTGCAGATTGGCCCTATCGACTGTTAGGGCAAGTGGGGACAAATGGGTTGCTTCCCTCTCCAACGACATCCTTGGCTACTGGGTTAGCCCCTACCCTCGTGGAAGTGACATCCATTTTCCAGATCCCAGAAGAGGGGATCTGGTTGGTCCTCTTTGGAGCAAGGGTACTCCTGGCCCAATCAGCTGAGGCCAAGAAGCAGTCGGCCTGTGACAACAGCAGCTCATGATGATTGAGCTAAATGTCGGGCAACTACGTATTCTCTCCAGGAACAGTCACAAGGAGAAGGTACCCTAATCCAGTGGTTCTCAGACTTAGTGAGCACCACCTCACCTGAAGGGCTGTTGGAATTTGCATTTCCAAAGAGTTCCCAGCTGCCGCTGGGAAGGAAGGGGGTTTGTGCGACTCTTTAAGAACCGCTGTTGCCCTAATTCCGTGGTCGGCAAACTGCGGCTCGAGAGCCACATGCAGCTCTTTGGCCTCTTGAGTGTGGCTCTTCCTAAGCCTTAGGAGTACCCTAATTAAGTTAATAACAATGTACCTACCTATATAGTTTAAGTTTAAAAAATCCGGCTCTCAAAAGAAATTTCAATCGTTGTACTGTTGATATTTGGCTCTGTTGACTAATGAGTTTGCTGACCACTGCCCTAGCTGGTTTGGCTCAGTGGATAGAGCGTCGGCCTGCGGACCAAAGGGTCCTGGGTTCAGTTCTGGTCAAGGGCACATACCTTGGTTGCAGGCTCCTCCTTGGGCTGAAGCTTGGTCAGGGCTTGTGCAGGAGGCAACCAATCAATGTGTTTCTCCCACATCGATGTTTCTTTCTGTCTTTCCCTCTCTCTTCCA